ATCCCCAGGCTGGCAGTCCTTATGGGCTGTGAGGATTGGAAGTCCTCAGAGGTCATCCTAGTATGAAAGCCTGTCCCCAGTGTCCAAGGAAGTTGGTCCCCAGCTCATTCTTGACCACTTCCAGGGACACAGGGCTCCTCCCTGTCCAGTAGGTATTAGAAAGTCATGCTTCCTTTTCTGGTCAGCCAGAGGCTGCCTCCCTGCCCACCCACTTTCCTTCTCTCCTGGGGACACATGGAACACAGCCATCCACCTTCCACAAAACAGACCTCCAACCATACTCCCTGGAACATAACCAGTCAGTTTTGACCTGATTCCCCTAAGGGCTCTCCAGGCAGCATAAGAGATTCAGAGTTCCAAAGGCTTCAAGAAAGAAAGTCAGGAAAGTGACTTCATCTCTGTGCCTTGCTTTCTGCATATATAAAATGGGGATAAGAATGAAATCTAGCCCCTAGGATAGGTATGAAGCCTGCAGGAGAAAACACACAGGATGCCCAGAGCATGATGCAAGCTGCGCTGTAAGGGCCTAGTACAGGTCAGCTACCATCATCCTATATGTGCGTTTCCACATTTTTTAATGGGATCTATTGTACATGATCCTCTGTAACTTGGTTTTATATCCGACATCATTAGTCTTCAAAGCATTTTTAATGGCTGTCATATTTCATCTCAGGAGTTATGGTAATTTATCTAATCACTCTCAGAGGGATTACTTCTGCAAACTATATATATATATATATATATATATATTTTAGCCCAAGCTCCTAGGTCAGAGCCACCAGGGCAGGGGAAATGTGGGGGGCAGACTCCTTCAGAGCTGCTGACCCTCCTGCCCCCACCCTCCTGGCATCCATCGCCTCCCTCCTTTCTCAGCTGGAATCAATTGCCCTCCCTTCCAGCCCATCCCTGCTGCCCCACAACATCAATCAACAATAAGTCACTGCTGGGTGCCCAGGCCAGCGCCAGCAGTGCCAGGCACCTGAGCGAACAGGGCTTGACCTGCCTTCAAGGACCCTGTTCTCCGTGTGGGGAGGGAAACCATATGCAAGAAGGACCAGGGAGGTGGTGCCCTGAGGGACGGCGCTCAGAAAAGCAGAAAGGATGGTCCGGTGGGAGCTCTGCCCCCTGAGACACTGGAAACAAATTCAGTGGGGTCCTGGGGGAGCCATCTGAGGGAGCAAGGTACAGGCCGCTGGCTGGGCACGCAGCGTCCGGGAGGAGCAGGGAGGGGCCGGCCGGAGGGGTAGCGCAGCGGGAGCACAGCTGTGAGCCCTGCTGGGGTCTCAGTCCTGCTGGGGTCTGAGACGGAGCCGTCCTCTGCTCCGCAGCCGGCCTGGGGCCAGATTGGGGGGCCCCAGCTCGGAACTAATGCCCCCGGCGGCCAGGGGCAATCATTTCAAAATGAAGGTAATGATCCAATTAGTGGTTATCCATCAAGTTCAGTTATCTTTCCTTGGGCTGGGAGCAGAGAAGCTGAGTAAACGCGTGCCTTGGACTGTGACATAAAACCAGACCCCCTCGCGCTGGAAAATGAGTTCAAGATGCGGCCTACGCTGCCTCTCAGGACCCGCAGGTTGGCTGACTCTGGCCCCAAGAGCCAGGAGAGCCATGGAGCTTATAAGCAGCAGCCCTGGTGGGAGAGCAGCTCCCAGCCTCGGCCCCTTCTGAGCGGGTGGGAGGGGGCTGTGAAGATCCGGCGAGGCCTGGCAGCTGGGGGTCTGGGAAAGAGCTCCACAGCCCCTGCCAGTATCCGACCCTTGTCCCAGTCAGAAGGCTTGGGTTCAGCTCAGTCCCGGCCCCCAGGCCCCAGCTCTGAGCTTCCTGAAGCATCTCAGGCCTCCCTGGCTCTCCCCCGCCCCCCATCCTCTCCACATTCACCATCTGTGCAACTCAACTCCACACTGTGCTCTGTGTGAACCTCCTGACTCAGACTTGAGGTTCCCTGAAGATGCGGGCTTTCTGTATCTTCTCATAGGACAGAATTTATTTCTGGAAGGCACTCCAGGGAGTCCTTTACTCCAAGCATCTCACTCAAAACATGAGGAAACAAGGCCTTTCGCGGCAGTCCAGGGGTTAAGAATTTGACTTGCAATGCAGGGGACATGGGTTTGATCCCTGGCCTGGGAAGATTTCACATGCAGGGGGCTACTGAGCCTGCGTGTCACAACCAGAGAGAAGTCCGAGTGCCACAACGAAGAGCCCTTGTGCCATAACTAAAATCTGATGCAGCCAAACAAATACATAAATAAAATGCTCAAGAAGAAAAATGAGGAAATGGTGGCCCAGGGATGGAAAGTGATTGCAGGCACACCCTGACTGTGGGAGCCCTCATTCATTGAAGGAATGTCCTCCAGTCTCTTACCCTCATCCTCCCCAGAGGAAGGCACCAACCGTCATGTTCAACAACCACTCTAAAGTTGGTGCACCATTCACCAGCCCTCCCCTCGCTCTGTCCCCTCATCTGGAAGGCCTTGGAATTGTTACCATTGAGTTTGAAACTAGCCCTCAGTTTTTATCTCATGGTACCCCCACTCCCTGCTCAGACTGTTGGAAGAAGGCATCACGGGATTATCCTGCCCTGTCATTTCCCTCTCAGAACCTCACACCACTATACCCCAACCCCACCTGATGTTCAAGTGCTGCCGCAGGAAATTATTTGGCAGAACACAACCCAAACCTCCCACTGACTTGACTCAGCATGGCTCGCCACACCAATGCATCCTGGCTCCTCTTGCTAGCCAGACTTTGCAGGGACCATTGAAGGACACACCCTTCTCCCCAGGTCTGGAGAGATCAGAGGATGAGATGACAGAGCCTGGAGCACCACCCACCCCTCTGCACTCTATTCTCTACAGTGAACCATGATGTGGAGGGACTCTTCTACCCATCCTGGAACCTACCCCTCCAGTCATGATCTGTCCTCCAGGCTCTTTAGAGAAGATGGTACATGGGCCCAGCACTGAGGCCTGCCCTCTTCTGTAGCAAGTGTGCAGGAATTGAGGCACCGAACTCACCAGAAGTTTTCTAGTGGATTCACTGCTCCTCCCTTTTGGCTTGACAAGTGATCAATGACCTTGGGTGGCTCTCTCTTCTCTGGAATGAAGAATGGGCCAGTTTTCCTTGGGTGTTCCTCTTACACTGATCTCATTACACATGAGCCACCTGCATATTAACTGCAAAATGTTTTAAATAGTTATCCAATTTTCTTTTTCTTGGGCCTCTTCTGTCCCCTTCCCTTTGATTCTACCTACAAAGGGTATAGGTTCTGTGTCTAAATTCATCTCTTTTTTGTGCATGTCTGGTAGTTCCAGCACCATTTGTTTTTTTATCTTTGCTCCAGTGTCAGAGCAAAGTGCCTTTGCTCCTTTGTCAGAGATCAGTTGATTGTGTTTATGTGGGTCTATTTCTGGGCTCTCCATTCTGTCCCACTGATCTATTTGTCTATTTGGCTCCAACACTGTTCTCTTTCAATTTCGTGTTGGCTCTACTGAGCCATAAAAATGTCTCTCCATATAAATTTAAGAATTGGTTTGTTGATATACAAAAAAATAACTTGCTGGAATTTTTACTGGGATTGCCTTGAACCTACAGGTAAAGTTGAAAAGAACTGACTTCTTGACTGTATTGTGTCTTCCTTATCCATGAATATGGAATATCTCTCCATTTGTTTTTTATGGAGATAGGCTTCATCATGGTTTGACATCTTTGATGTCTTTCATCAGAGCTTCATTGTTTTCCTCATATAGATCTTGTACAACTATACTTTGTTAGATTTATACCTAAATATTACATTTTTTTATTGTGCGACTAGGGGCCTCCTCTGTCTCTTTCCTTCTATTTCAATCTATGAAAATCCTACTCAACCATCAGCTACCAAGTTGAATCTCAGCTCTGCACCTGTATGCAGGGTGTTCCTGGGCAAGTGATTTAACACTTTTTGACCCTCAGTTTCCTCACCTGTAAGATGGCAGAAATAATAAGTATCTTGAAGTATTGTTAGGATTAGTAAGATCAAGGGTAGGCTCAATGCCTGTCACTGAACAGGCCCTCTGCTAAATGGTAATGGTTATTAGTGTCATTGTTCTAATATCATTTCAAATGCCACCTCTTCCATGATGCTGCTCCTCATTGCTTCATCCAAAAATCATACTCACTGCATCTTTCTCATAGAATTCCTGCATGGTAATAGTCACTGAGGAAACTAAGGGACTAGGGAAGATGGGAAGATAAAAAAATCTTAAGTAAAAAAAAATTTGAAAGTTATTCGGTAGTAGACTGGTGATTGAATGAATAAACCCAGGAGGAAAATGGGTTTCATCTCATGGTAACATGAATTGGGAAGGTACTGTTTGAAGCACAGAACAGTACTGTAATTAATTAATGGTGTCTACTATGGGCAATGAACCCTATGTAATGTATTTGCCAGTGATGAAATAAACTATAGGTCTATAGGATATTATTAGCTGGATGTGACTTCCAGAGGAATTTGATCAAAACTCTTCATTCCATAGGTGAAGAAATTACAGTGTATATTAAAATGTACAGTTGTATAAAATTTTTTCCCTCCTTCCTTTTTTTCTTTTTTTTGTCATTTGATTATTTCTTTAAATGCATACAACTGAGTCCCAGAGGAACTAGAATATAGTAAGTTATATAGTTCTCAACTACAATTCCTATTTGCATCTAGCTCTTTCTTCCTCAAGTGAAACCCCAGAATGTTCTAAAAACTTGGAATCTAGAAAGAAGAAATATGTTGCTCCAGAATATAGTGAATGCTTACCATGGTCTCAAGAAAAACAAATAATGTATAAAACCATCAAATGAACAAAGCATGTGCGCTGCTCCTGCCAAAGAAGGATGAGAGGAGAGGTTACCAGGGAGAAGGATCCCCTGGCTCATGAGAATCTAAAGCCTGTCATCAAAATCTAGTGTCTGGGTTCTTCAACTAGAGAGGACTCAGGACCCATGAGGACTGTTGGTCAAAGTGTGGGCGATTCAGGATGCCAGCAGGTGACCTTCTTGTCCTGAGACTTGGTTTCCTTGGGAGTTTAAGAACTTATGGAGGAGGAATCGTGCTACAAGTGAGGTCATCCACACATTGCCTCCCTGAGTTGAAGCCACCGTCTATGAAACAACTCAGATGATCGAGCATTTTACCTATGTCAGCATTTGGTTCTCTCAACAACCTTCTGAGGTGCAAAACATTGTTTCCATTTCACCTGTAATAACTGAGGTTTAGGTAAGTGAGTTTCCCAGGACAACACAAACAGTGGCAGAGCCAAGACGTGCATGCGGGGATTCTGACTCCAACTCCTTACACCACCCCACATTGTTTGATGGGCCAGGCCCTCCATACGTGCTGTGGAGTAGTTTGAACAGAGCCCTGCTTCCACTCCAAGGATGAAGGAGCTGTCTTCTTGAACTCCAGTCCTCTTGGATCTTAGGGTTTTGTTTCCACTGTTGCCGAGGCCAGGTCTCTGAGAAGAATATCCCTACTCTGACTACTCCTGATTATCCCACTGGAGAGTCCCTGCTTCCTGAGGGAGAGTTCCACGAGGAAGGTGAGAAATCTGAAGCCCCATTTTCCATCAGGCCTCGCATGGCTATGCGGCACTGGCTGTCCATGAGGAGCCAGCCAGCTCTCGCTTGTTGCGTTTTATTGGTTATGCATCCTCTGCAGGGTCCAACTATATTACATTGCTTCAAGCAGCCTATAAAATAAAGACAATCACAATGCCATGAGGAATAGTGTATCCCCAACCATAAATAAATTAGGGCTCTAATTCCATCAAGGCATGTGGGTGACATCACACACCGTGAGAGCGGAGCTTTCACGGGCTGTTCACAGCACCACAAATCTAAGATGGAATTACCGTCTTCGTTTATTTACATCTTCTGGTGGCTGGATTGCTGTGACAGATGATCTCTGGAAAGTCTGGTCCCTCTAGATTATGACCTCATGTTCTGCTCTTCTCCCCGCTTCCTTTTCCCTCCCCTACTCTCTCTCTCCCACCCCCTTTCCTCTCTTGTTTCTCTCTCTCACACCCATAAGCATTTCCCTCATTGTGTTTTATTTTCTCCTTGGTCTTGATAAAGAATGGAAGGAGGGAAGCACCTAGCACCAGGAAAAGATGGCAAATTCCAGACGTGGGGGAGGCTCAGGAGGAATGAACATTTCCTACAGCTGTGATTTGTGGCATTGCCCCAGGGCCATTTATCCATGACCTCTCTGGGGACATATAGCTTTCCTTGCTTAAAATTTCAATTTAATTAAATCCACTAGGTGTGTTCTTGGATGTCAACCATGTCCTAGGCAACGTGGGGCAGTTAGAACCACATGGAACCAAGGAATTTCAGAAGCAGAAAGGTTTCAGCAGTCTCTGAGTGAGTTCGACTCCTCGTTTTACAAATGAGGGACTCAAGGCCCAGAGAAATAAGGTGGCTAATTAATGACAGAGCCATGTCTAGACTGCAGAAAGAGTGAGAAACCTTAGCAATGTCCACCTGGGCCTTAGAGCATAGTCAGAGAAGAAAGGCATCTTCAAAAGAGTTAGCTAATAACATGAGAGGGCACATAATCAGAGCCAAACCAAGGATTACAAAAACTGAATTTGTAGGAGAAAGGAAGTGATATGGGCAGGCAAGTTTGGGATAAATTTCACAGAGAAAGCAGCAGTTGGGTTGGAGGCTGAAGGGTAGAAGGGGTCTCACTTGGCAGAGATCAGAAGGGAAAGCATTATAGGCAGAGAGACAGCCTGAGCCATGAAATAAGCCTGGGGGCTGGAGGAAGCATTGCCTGGACACAGAAGGTCATTGGAACCCCAGTAAGAAAGATCAATGGGTCTTTATCCAATTGGATGGGTCAATATCCAAGTATCAAAACTTGATGGAGCCACTGGACCCTGGGACTTAACCCTGAAGTCAGCTGAGGGTACTAGAAGTTCTTGAATAAGAAACAATAAACAAAAAGCATGTTTTAGAGCTTTACTATGCAGAAAGTAGTCTAGAGATAACTAGCATCAGCTTTACCCCACCGGGGAGCTTTTCTAGAAAAGTCCAATCTCAATCCCACCCCAGGCCTACCAAATCAGAATTTCATCGTAACTAGATGCCCATGACTCACCAGGCACATCAACCTTTGTGAAGCTCTGCTTTAAGAAAACTGGCCTAGTGTGAAGGCTGCTTCTGGGTTATTCTAGAGTTGTACTCTCATGTTGCCAGATTTTTCCTCATCAAGGTTGACTTAGCAAATGTTATTACACTCAAAAATTCTTGCAAAATGAGAGAAACCAATTAACTTTTCACATCGAGTGTGGTATTCATGAATATTAAGTTTAACAATTGATGAAGATGACAATATTAGATTTTTAAACACAAACATTTCTTCGTTTCCATTTTACTGTTTTCTTTTTGGATTTTAAAGCCCATGGACTTTCTCCCAATCATCAGATATTCTCTGAGCCCTTGAAAAGCTCTTAGGCATTTGTATCTGATGGATAAAACAGGCTGATGGGTCCTACAGGAGCAGGGACCCCCATACAAGTCCAGGCAGCTTCTGGGGGGACATGGTAAGACCCTGCAGAAAAGATGAGAGTCTCTGCTGCATCCAAAACCCTCATTCCATTCTGCCAGACGTTAAGGAAGCACTGAGGCCTGGAGTTTGATTCACTAAGGCTTTAAGGCTCTTCCCCAGATCCTGGTCCTGCCTGGGCCCGGGTGGTAGGTGGAGCCAGCGATGACCCCATGAGCCCACAGGATGGGAGCTTAGAACTGGAATTAAGCAGATTTAAAGAAAATACATAAAGTCACATGGGTGTGTACCTGGATTTATAGACCAAGATGAGTACTTGCTCTATTTTCTTTAAAAAGAAAAAAAGTACTCTCCTCCCAGGGCCTCCTCCAGCAGGGAGGAGAGAGTGCATTGCTTGAGGTAAGCCACAAGTGAAAGTGCAAAGAGTCAGAGGAGACTTTCAATCCCTCAACTCTAGACTGACACTGACGTAGACCAGTGCTCCCACCACCACCACCAAACCACAAAATATGTGCCGAGTCTGGGTCGGAGCTTCCTCTCCCAGGGACCATCACGAAGTGCTTGGGGCGTGCTGTCAAAGGCAGAAATTCCACCAGGGTGCCCTCTGTAGCGGCTGACTTGCTTTGGTCTTCTGGGGACGGGGTTGCCCAGTGAAGAACAGGCTTGGAGGGCTGGGGGGCGATCTGTCTGCCTCTCTCTCGACAGGAGGTCTGTGCAGGGGTGGGGAGTGCAAGGATCTGCTTAGAGTCGAGTCCTCAGTCAGCTCCGTCAGTGGGAGGCATTCTCTGAAGCTCTGGGTCCCTTGGCTTCACCTCCTGTAAGACGGCCACAGTGAGGAATCTTCTGTGTCAATGAGAACCTTGCTGGGAGCCTCCTCTCTTAATCTCATCTTTTTAAACTGAGATTTAGTTCACATACCACGAAATCCACACTTTTAAACAATGTGCTATCAGGGACTTCCCTGGTAGTCCAGTGGCTAAAACTCCAGGCTTCCGACGTAAGAGGCCCTGACCAGGGCTCCCCGACCAGGTTTGATCCCTGGTCAGGGAACTAGATCCCACATGCTGCAACAAAAGATCCTGCATGCCACAACTATGATCTCCAGCACGTAAATAAATATTTTTTAAAAACTAAACAAAGTGTACTAGTCAATGTTTAGTATATTCCCAAGATCATACCATCATCACCATCTAATTCCAGAATATTTTCGTCACCCTCAAAAAGAAATCCATGCCCATTAGCAATCATTCCCCATTCCTCACTCCTCTCAGCCTCCGGCAACTGTTAATCTGGTTTCTGTCTCTATGGATTTGCCTTTTCTGGGAATTTCATGTAAATGGAATCACACATTACGTAGCCATTTGTGTGTGGCTTCTCTTCCCTTTTATTTTGCCACAAGCCAACTTGTCTCAGTAATATGTTATGAAGGCCTAGAAGTTACTAGTCTGAGAAAGATGGTAATAGTCCTGGAGAAAATTCTCCTAGGAAAAGCCATTAGCCTTTATCTTTTTTCAAGTGTTTCTCAGGGCAGTTCCTCCAGACCCCACATCCTTGTCGGTACTCACCTTTACTGAGAGACAGGTCAGTGCAAGTGACTACATCTCAGTTGAGGGCTGAGGACCAAGTCCTGTGCTTACAATACCAAGCAAAGGTTGGCCTCTGGCACAGAAATTAGTTCTGCTCAAATACATCCCATCTGGCCATAGACATTTCATAACATTAAATGGCCCTTGACAGTATAATAAAGGCATGCTTGGTTGCTCATAACTAAGGGGAAAGTGAGGTAAAAGACTAGTCCAAGGTCACACAGGTAGGAAGCAGTAAACGGAGAGTTCAAATTCAGGACTCATGTTCCAGGGCTTTCTCCATCAGCTGCTTTCATGTTTCTTAATGACTCAGATGGCACCTGTGTAGACTAATCCACTAATCCTGTGGTCTTTATCCCTCCCCCAAAATTCACCCCCCCCACCACCAGAAAACCATCCTAGGGAAAAGGAAGTGAGCTGACAAACAGACTTTTCCTTTTCTTTCTCTCCCCATCCTCCCTCACTGAGCTTCCCTCTTTCCACATCCTGCAATTGCATGAGTGGTCCACTAACATTGCTCATAGTCCCATCAGCATTGAGGCCAAATGCTTAGTTTTCCAACTTTTTGACTGTGATCTTGAGAAAGTTATTGAACTTGTATCTCAGTTTCTTCCTTTTACAAGTGAGGATAGTATTCATACCTACCTTCAAGGCTGACAGTTGATATGTGTAAAGAGATTTGAACAATACCTGATACGTGGTAAGCATTCAATAAATGATAGATTTCATTTGGTACCATATGTATTTGTATTTCTCATGCTGCTGAGTAAAAAACTGTGCATACTAAGTCTTGGATGAAAAAGATGCTCATAAATATGAAAGGAAAGAAGAAAGGGAGGAAGGAAGGAAAAGGAAAGGGTGGAAGGGAAGCGGGGGCAGAAAGAGATTTATAGTAGCCTCTAAATGCAGAACGGGGGACTTCCCTGGTGGTCCGGTGGTTAAGACTCCACACTTCACCTGCACA